AACTGAATGTTTAAATTTTGAAAGGAAAAAAAAAATCAGCGTGACTGACAAGGTCCTTTTAAAACACATAATATGCTGAACCTTACATGACACTTCTGTGGGTGTTAGTCTAAAAAGCTATCTTTACATGCAATGTAGCAAATGAACTGTGTAAGGCAGGGGTTGTAGCTATATGCATCGTTGCTAAGTAGTACTACAGGATTGTAAAACCTGACAAACTTGTTCTCTTACAGCTCCATGTCCCCAGGGAAGAGGCTGTGTATTCTTGTTCTTTAAACACCTGAAAAGTTCGTTTTGGACTAACTATTGCCATTTATACTCTACGTTGCAGGCAGTTGACCCTTAAAGAGGTGAGGGGCTTGAACTTCGAGAGGTGCTACGTGGGGAGCCAGTAGAGGTGAAGGATGACCTCTGGCTCTCACAGGAGCTCATCGTCCTTTTCCCGTTGAGGAAACGTTTGCCTGATCGTTCCCCTCAAAGGTTAGGAGAGGGCTGGGGGTTGTGTAGCCAGCCCCATCCCAGCTTGCTGGTAGGGAGAGGTGAGAAACTCAGTGGTGGGATTTTGGTGACCCTTAGGGCAGGAGTGAGGAGTGCCATCAGCAGTGGGGGCTATTTTACAGGGCAGGCAGCATCCTTCAGCTCCAACTGGAGACCTGTGGAGAATGGGAAACTTCCTCTCGTTGCTCCAGAAGAGCAAAAATCTAAAAGCCAGCAAGTAAAACTATGCCAGAAACACATACTGGCTTACTGCTGCTGCATTCCTCTCGTTGCTCCAGAAGAGCAAAAATGTAAAATCCAGCAAGTAAAACTATGCCAGAAACACAGTGTTTCTTTTTTCAGTGAGAAAATTGGCTTACTGCTGCTGCCCCATCCCTTCTGGTGGTTTATGCACAGATGGGTAACCCTACTATTTTACTCTCTGGATTCAGCCACCAAACAGTCACCTCTAACCTATTCTCTTTTAGGAGGTCTTGTCTCCATGTGAGGTGTGTGGACGGCAGTTTTAAGGGCTGGCAGCTCATCACACATGATAGAGATGATAACTGAGGTGAAGGGGTCTGGCCACCTCAATGTCCCCCCCTTCTACAGGGAAGGATCTCCAGCAGTCTCAGGGCCAGCCTCCTGCCCAGTTCGGTGCCATGTGCAGCCATGTTGCTCTTGCTTCAAGTGTCCCAACGTTGTCCTACAAACGGGGTCCGGTACCCGGTGTGCAATAAGCCCATCTTAGGCACAGAGCCGAGATACTTATTTAGTCCATGTTTGCGCCAAGACGGGTGCTAGGTGGTAATTCCACAAAGCTAGCACACCACACAAAAGAACTACAGCATATTTATATTGTTACATGATTAGCGAAAGCCCGCCTAAATCCATGCTCACTGGTTAGTTACGTTCAAATTAGCCTCGCTTGCTATGTAAATTAGCACGCATGATCCTTGCAGGTGTGGGGGGGCAAGTCTTTCCAGTCTTGAATTGAGTCGTTAGTCGCGATCCCCCCCTGCCGCCTTTACCTTTCCCCTAGTTACCACAGTTTCTTGCTGACTTCTTGTTTTTTTTGGCAATCATCTAGCCTCCGACGCCTTCTAGGGCAGGATGTTCCCCTTCTATCAGTCTTCTAGTTCTTCTTCAAAGGCATAGTCGTCGTAAGGCATGCATTGTTTATACAAGGTAATCAGGCTAGAAAAATGAAGACTACAGTCTAGGATAGGTATTAACCTAAACATATGGCTACACCAATGGTGGAGGCCCTGCAGCTCCTGTATCCATTTCTGTGCTCTTCTTACTGCGGCCCATGTAGCCCACTACCACGTAAGCTCACATTCCTGTCCGCCACTGAAATGCAGAACAGCTTATTCCCATCCCTTTATTGCTTTTTTTTAATTGTTTGAAGATGTTTATCAAGTGTCCCTCCCTAGCTTTCCATCCATCTTTTCCTCTCTCTTCACTTTTTCTGGACTTCTGTGTCATCCTCACCCTTCCTTGGGGGTCTCTTGTCAGTTGTTCAAGTCTTCCTCGAGGAGCAGTGCTAAAAACCCACCAACAACCTCCAGCTGAGGCCATCCCCGTGCGGAGGAGAGCAGATGAGTCTGGCCGTTTTTTCTAACCCATAAGAAAGAAACTGTGCGCGCCTCCCGCAACCCTCCAATGGACTTGCCATGAGTAGCTGTTTTAATTTTATTTTCCTTTCCCTGAAATTCATGTTTGTCTGTTTTTAATTTCAGGATGGCTACCAAGCTCCTTTCAGCACTGAATTAGAGAAACGTAGGATACAGTAGCAGCTAGACTCCCCTATTAATCAAATTAATGTGTCTTGGTGAACCAATTCAGAATACCGTGGCGCTGGCTCTTGTGATTTCATAACATCTCACGACATTCAGTATTTTTGTTAAAGCTCTGCTTTCCAGATTCATGTGATAATGGGAGAAGCTGAGGTTTCACTTAGGCAGAATTAGCAATAAAGTATCTGGAGCACCTGGCTGTAGGGAGTAATTGGCAAATGGGACCCAAGTGCATCCTAAAGTCTCAGAAAACCAAAAGCCAAATAAAAAGCACCTGCAAACAACTGTTGTTGGCTGACCTTGCTGGAAAGATGCTTGTAATAAATGTGCTTGTCTGGCTGCTCCTGTGGTCAGGAGCTGTTGAATGCCGATCCCAAGTTCTCCAAAGTGCTGTGATGTTTTCTGGATAGCCCCCTGTGGGAAGCTGGGAGGGGGATGGGAGACGAGATGCAAAGTGAGGCAAGAAATTATCACCCACAAAAGCTATGAAGTGGGAAACCTGGGCCTCCAACCCCCCAGGACCAATCGTAATGAAAGTGCCCCCTGCTAAAAGGCTTTGGGGTGCTCTGCGTGTTACCAGATACCTCGACTTCAAATGCCTGTGTGGGTTTTCCCAGCAATACCCAGTGTCCCAGCCAAGGTGCTGGTCAGGAGGTGCCAGGAGGTGTCAGAACAGCCCAGACTCAAGGGGCATAGATGTACCTGTGACGTTTGGGAGCACGAGGCCACTTCAGAGGCTTTGGCTCGGTGCCATTTCCCCTGTGCATCAGCCACGTCTGAATAAGAGGGTGGCTGAATGAAGACGAGGGTACAGAGTGAATAGGCACCGGGTGTATTGCTCGTGGAGGGGAACCAATTTTTACCAATTTTCCACTTTCTGTGATGAGGACCTGTTTCAGCCAACGCTGCCAGGGTGCTCTCTCTTCGGTGGGAGGAGTGCATGAAAAATACAATTTAATGCCACCGTTGGCTGCTGTTCCTTCCCAAGGAGCTGTGCGGGGCAGGGAGCAGCGGTGCGAGCACCACGGACACCTGCGAAGGCGCTGACTGAAGATGATACTTAGAGGAGCAGTGAACTACACTGGGTGCAACCGTGACTGTCGCTTGCTATGGGCTGCCCATACGCAGTCCCCATCCCCTGAGAAATGACAGTGTTAAAATATGCCGCCAGACAAAATATGGCAGAAAATACAGTTTTACAAACCTCTTGACATGAAAACTTTAAAAATATGTGGGATATGGGGCAGTAAGAGAGACACCCAATAAACAGCTGGACATAAAGGCGGCTGCAAACTACCCACAAATAAAGGAAGCGCTGAGGCTGACTGCGAGACTGGTGGAAGACTTCTCCTGCCATCCTTGTCCTGCTGCGGAAACGTTTTAAGTTGTTACCAGGAACAGTTTGCAAAGGCTCACACAAAGCCACTGTCAGAAATAACTCGAATGCAGAGAGGAAAAAATTGCTTGAGAGTTCTTTTGGGAAGGATTAGGTTTAAAATAATTGCCATTTATAAATTAATTTCACATCCTTTTGGAGCTTGGCCTACTAGCATTTCAAGGCTTGACTGGAGCTGGCAGACAGGGTGGGCATGGATTCTAGGGCCTGACTGCCAAGAAAAAGGAAAATATTAAGAGAAAAAATTGGCAATGAAAAAAAAAAGGCCAGGGAAATATAGGGAAATGAGATTTAGTTTAGGAAAATCATTGTTCTCTGAGCCATGGACTGATTTTATGGCTGGCATGTTAGTCACAGTCTTACATGAGCCTGGCTTTTGTAATTGATGTCTGAAGAGAAACTGGTGGAGAACACAGCTCCCAACGCTTTAATAATTTTTAAATCCATGATTCTGTTATTTGTTATTTTTAATCATGGGGGGTTTTATTTAAATTCATATCAAAGTCTATTGAAAGCAGTGGGGAGACTCCTCTCAGCTTCAACAACTTTGAATCAAGCTGTGTAAAAATAGATGCCACATGCCTCAAGACTTCTGCTGCAGTCTTGCCAACTGAGTCCAAGCAGCAAAGTAAGACCACGACTCTTCTGTTTCTTACACCCAGCATTTTAGGGTCATGAGTTATTGGGGCCCAGCCGAAGCCCGTGTGACACCTCTCAGTGCTTTCGCCCAATGCTGGATTAGACCTGAGCGATCTGGGCTTGCTCCTGCTGTTCTCTACGGCGCTGAGCACATGCCTTCCCTCTGCATTTCCCTGGGCTGGTTTAATAGCAGAGAGATGCTCTATTGCCCAGGAGGCATTTTGCACAGAGCTGTACAGTAGACGAACGGCTCCTTTCCAAAAGAAAAATGTGCATGGTGAAAATAAAAATGCCCGGGACACATGGGAGAGGAGTGAACCCAGGGTGGAGCCCTGTTGCAAGGGCTGCTCCTCCTTTCAATGCAAGTCAAGCCATTGGTAAACTGGAAAGCACTGTAACAGACGCCAGCCTGAGTCACGGAGCAACTGCAAAGGCCTCTCCACAGACCACAGCTTGGAAATCATCTCTGCTGAGGCATGGGTGGACCAGGCCAGTTCTTCATCTTAGCGCTTTTTGGGTGTTTTGCAGTGTGCGTCTTTAGTTACGACTGCATGAAGAAGGCTGCCCTCCAGCACTGAGAGGGTGCTGGCAGCTTGCAGCCCAGGGTGGGCAGCACCTCACCGCTGACCCTAGCAGAGCAGTGGTGAAGCGGGAGTGAGGCGGCTGACATCCAGCACTGCGGGGGGGAGGCCTCGCTGGAGGAGAGGGCCCGGGGCTAACGCCCAGCTATCAGGTAAAATCGGAGACCGAGAGATCGGAGATGCAGACGGATTCAAGAAAAACTGTTGAAAACAGATTGTTAGTCAGCCTTATGGATCTCAGCGAAGGACATGTTTTTCCTACTGGAAGAGAGCCATGATGTAGAAATAGACTGAAATCAAGAAAGAGGGCTGCAGCCGTAGCTTAGGCTGTATATTTAAACATTTTTGCTGTCAGACCATCTGGGCCTGGAGCTAAATTTACCTACAAATTATTTTCAATGTTTCTACTTCTTGAGAGTTGAAAGGTGCACTTGACACTTTATGCCAGGAGGAAAGATAAAATAAATGTCCTGGGTCAGATTTTCCCAGTGTCAGACCTGTGTGTGGTTTTGGATGCCTAATCTGTCTGCAACTCCTCACTTTAAGCCCAGGCCGGGTGCTCTGCGCACACAGAGCCCCTCCACAGCCAACACAAAAACTTGACTTGCATTCTTGCTCCTCGTAACTCTGGGGTTTTTTCTGCAATGCAAATGCACTCACATCTTTTGCACTCACATCTTTTTCTGCCCTTTTTTTTTTTTTTTTTGTTACTGACTTTTTTTTTTTGAACCATGGCTAAAGGAAGACTATGGGGGATCCAGGAAGTCTAGTTTCTGACTCAGCTCAGTCAAATTTGCTCGGTGACTCTCGCGCACCTGGATCCCAGGAGAAAGCCTCAAACTCAGGTGAGGTCTGGCAGTCCCCTAGACATCAGGGAAGGTTTGGTGTGGGCCTCTGATGCCCCACGGGGAGCACACGGGACAGGGACTGACAGATGCTGGATGAGAAAGTTGTGTTCTGCAACTCTGCAACTTTTGCAACCTTTCCCCACAAAATGAGGCACCTGCATCTAGCCTTGGGTTGGCCACTGCTGTGAAAAAAAGAGTCCACCGCCCCAAATTTTAGGTGCCTGAGTCACTCCTTTGGGGACTGGCTTACTGATTCCTCCTTTCAAAGGAAAATGGATGAAGATGGCTGTACCTCTTGCTGGTCAGGACTCCCCAGCTCTTGGAGGGTGCCCCAGCACCTACACTGGAGTATTGAGTGTTCAGCAAGTCTCATCGGGCTCAGGGTAAACTAATCTCTCATCCTCTGCCTGTGTTGTTTCTCCTCTTAAGGAAATTTTCCCATTTAAATGGTTTTGTGCAAATGGTTCCTTCAGTTTTCTTTAGAGACAAAAGTGTGAAAGTATCTACTGGACAATCACATCCCAGAGTTGGTGTTTTTCTGATCTTAAAACAAGAACCTTTATTAGTCTCCAATTACTGCCCATCAACTTGGGAAAGACTAAAAATAATTCTATTTGGGGAGTAGAGAAATTAAGTCTCAAGAGACATAGGGCCTTTCAGCTTTTTAATGCGGCTGATTGCGCCTTTCTGTTCTGTGTGCCATAAAAGTAATAAAATTTAAATATTTTATAAAAGTGATCTGTGATGGGTGATGGTACGGAACTGATCTGGTGGTTCAGTTTATCTATGATTTTAAAATCCCTACAAGGAAACTCTTAAATGCTGTTATCCATCCCACATCATGTATAGATCATCTCAATCAGAAAGACTTTCTTGGTAATAAAGCTCCTCTATCTAGCTAGTTGTGAGTGCGCTGCCTTCAGACGGTTTCTTTTTAACGGATGGCATGGAAAACTCTTCCAAGGCCAAAATACGTGAATAAGATTTATTAATCCTGTAGCCCCTGTCACTCACGATAATGCTAATAATCCATAAGCCTTACATCATGTCTAACATCCCATGTAACAAATGCATCTCTGGGAGATGAACAATAAATCCCATGTGCACTCTGCTCCCTTCTCCTCCGCCTTGGTGAGGAAGCCCCAGATTTGGTGCAGCTCTTTCCAGCTACCCTGGTTCCTTCTTGCTTCCCGCGCTGGCAGGAGGCTGACACTGCCCCAGCCCTTCCCAGGGGACCCCTCCTCTGAAGCCGTCAGTATTTGTCACTGTATTTGCAGTCAGGGTAGCGGTAGGCAAAACGGGAATCGCACGACCGCAGAGGTTTCAGGAGCTCTGCCAGCTTCGCAACCGCCTCGTTGACGCCCTGGTCATCGGCGAGACCACTGGCGCAGTGCTGCAGGAAGCTGTCTATTTTCTCCTGCACAGGTTGCAGGAATTTCCCCTTCAGGAGCTTAGGCAAAAGCTCTTGACATACCATGACGAGGCTGTGCTTCTCTCTGATGGAGTTACAGGACACAAATGCAGACTGGCAGTCCACAGTCAAACAGCTAAATATGTCTTTATACTCCTGCTGGCCGTCAGTCAGCTGGCTCCCTATTAGAGACAATTAAACCAGTTGTTAGAAGCACAGTAGCAAAATCTTGGATAATCACGTATGTCTGTACCTCTGTATTAACATGGGGTTTGTTACTATCTAAAGGATGCGGCTATCTTTCACCACAAAGTACTCTGTGCTGTAGCTGTGTACGGGCCAATTTTCTCACTCCTGAAATATATACATTTTTCTGAATGACAGAGCTCTGCAGAACCGCCTGACAGAGGAAGTGGAGAGGAGTCTGTTGAGTCAAACTGATGCAGAAAAAGCGAGAAGAACTGGAGTGCTAACCTAAATTGTGGAGTTCCTACAAAAACTACCACAAACAGCCGAACCCGTAATTTTTGCATGTTACCCAAAATCATTAAATTGCAACAACAGCTCATCTAGCTGGAGTCAAGTCAACAGTAATAGCTGTTGGGACAAGAAAAAGAAACCCAGTGGAAAATTCTCTGACAGCTGCTTCTGAATATTTGAGATCTACTCAGCTGAATGTGTGAGCTGAGCAAAGGCCTTTTGAAAATTTGAACATTCAAAATGAAATTGTTGAATTATTGGAGGCATAGTCTTTGACTAGCTCTACTTCCAGGAGTAGACCAATGTAACCTGTGAAAAGTGAATAGTAACTCTTGATTTTATGTAAAAATGACAAAAGGGGGATTTTGTTGTTATAATAATGATTATTTAGTTAATGTGATAAATGCACCTAAAAAGAGTCTGATTTGACCCAATACTTAAAATAAATCAAGTTATGAAATTTCTACTTGCAAATATTGACATTTGTGTGGCAAAAGTTTTAAAAGAGGTGATTTAGGAAGACTTCAAATGAGAGCGTTCAGCACTGTGCACATTGGATGCTGCTGCCACCCACAGAGGGGGCCGGGCAGGACATAAGCGCCCACGGTCGGTTACCAAACCACCGACAGCACAAACAAAACGCCTGTCGCCTTCCCGACTCAGAGCCAGGTTGGCAGGAGCTGCTGATGCTTTTGCTGTCGGTAAACCTCTCCGTGAACTTTTCATTATTTAATTTTGCAAGCGATGTTTGGTTGACTAAAAAAAAAAAATCAGCAGCACGGCCGAGCGTAGCAGGTGAAAGATTTGTTTCCCCTGCCTCGCTGAGCCCTCCTGCAACAGATGCGCGGCCATGGAGCCTGCTGAGTACCTTCCTCCTTGTCGATGATCCCCAGCATGCTGGCATCCCGGATGAACAGATGCCCGTTGCTAAACACGCCGAAGGTGCCAGCGTCCACGTGGGTGAAGTAGAAGAAATAGTTGAGGTCGTTGGTGCCCATGGAGCGGAGGACGGCGAGGAGCTGGAGGGCCAGGTCAGCGGCCACCTCGGGGGCTGCGCCATAGAAGTCACGCAGGGGCCGGGTGCTGGCGCTGACCACCAGCCGCCCGCAGGAGCCCAGGTACCGTGGGAAGGGCCATCCCTCCACGTCAGGGAAGATCTGCCAGGGAGAGCGGGAACAGGGGGATTGCCCCTGCCCTCTGGCCGCTGTGCTCTGCCCGCTCTGGACCCACCTCCCTCCCGGAGGACTTTCCAGTGCCCTGGCCGGCTTCAAGCAGCAGTGCCGGTGCCGTGTTTTGCTTTCTAAAGCAGGCTGCAACCCTTCCTCACCCCAGCCTGCCCCAGCAGCTGGGGAAAGCACTGCTCCGTCCCGGAGTAGCTATGCTGCTTTTTTTTTTTTTTTTTTTTCTTTTTTTAATTAAGGAAGAAGAATCTGATATTTCAAGACTTATTTCATGAGGGAGACTAACCGGAAAGTCCAAGATAATAATAGATTTCAAATTCATGAAAGTTTTAGCCACAGAAGAGCTAATTTTAGGTGTCTTTATGGAGCCTTTGATGGGTCCCTCATGAGCGCTGCATAGCTGAAGTCACAGCTTGGAGGTGAGGTGGGGCTAAAGCAGTTTTCGCTAATTTGGAAGAACTGCCTGGCCGTTTTGTAAGAGACTTTGCAGTCTCAGGGACAGAAGTGCTGGGTGTTTGCTACAGTGGGGACACTTGGGCTGGGCTCCCTGCATCACTGCAGCTCGTGCTAGCAGCGCAGTTTTCCAGGTGGAAAACAAACCTAATGACTTCTGAGCTGTACCAACACAAAGCTTTCTGCCATTTACATTATAACTTGTCTGTCTCCCCAGCGCCCCAGACCCTGCCAAGGCAGGGTTATGAACTCGTTCAGTTTCATGTTTAAGGTTGCTTCTCCCTTCTGCTGTGAAGGCATCTTGGGCACCCACGTAAAACCAAGCCATTTCTCTGCAGCATATTTTTCTCACCTCTTTAAGCTACATTCCCGTATCTTTACAGTGCTGAGAGCTGCAGCCTCATGCCCCAGTGAGCCGTGGCCGGGGTGGCTGACTGACCCCCGGGAGACTCCCAGAGCACGAGCACCGTTCCCCCTCCCTGGGAGGGGGGCAGAGCCCTGTGAGCTGCTGAGGGCAGCAGTGGCCTGGGGCAGGAGATAGAGGCTGCCGCTGCCTCTCTTCTTCGTGGAATCTCAAAGGGTTGAAAGAAACAGCAATGAGGACTAAAGGAGGGGAAGTGGTGGGGATGGGTGAGGATACTCCCTCAGAAACACATGCAAGGAAAGAGAGGAGCCACATGCCAGGCATGCCAGCAGGGGACCAGGGGAGGGGCGTGAGACCTCCCAGCTCTCTGCCTTCAAGCTCAGAGCCCAGTTGTATTTGGGATTCCACCAAACACCTCTGCAAAGCTACACGTTGCTACAGAGAGAGTTACCAGTGGCATGTAAATGGAAGAAACAGCTCTGGCTCATGGAGCCTGGGAAATCAGTGCTCCCCAAGTCCATGTTCAACCTCAACGCTGCGTCTTGGTCCTCCCGTGCTAAAGCATGCTCTTTCTCTTTCATAAATAGGCTGTGATTTTAAGTAATATATTAGCAATGCAAACATAACACTGTGAAGTATTGGGGACATGTAAAGCCCTGGCTTTCACAGTGCGCCAGTGCAATAACCTGTCTGGTTTCTGATTTATTTAAGGGGCTGAGCATCCGTATCTCTCCACAACTTCACAGGCTGATGCAAGGACCACTGCAGGAGTCTGCCTGACTTCAGCCAGCCAACCCCATAGAAGAAACTCGCTTTATGAAGGCTAGGGAGCTTGCCAAAGGGTAGCGCCGGGACTCCTCTGCAGCCAGGGGCTGGTGCACTTCTCATGCGAGGGTTCACTTGCAAGGGGCTGCAGGGTGGCGTTTCAAGCTGGGGCAAAGTGGTACCTACCTGTAACAAGATGGGGTGTGAATTCACTGACAGCGTGTACAGGAGGCGCAGTTTGTCCCGGTCGGTGAGGTGGTCCATGTAGATGCTGCCAGCGTCTGGCACCTCAGCGTAGCGCCGCACTATCCTGTCCAGGAGACGCTGGGACGGGCAGCGCAGCATTGGGCTAGACAGGCCCTGGTGAGAGGGCAAAACATGACAAAGGTGTTTATTTTCCAGCCTGAGATGTCGCAATGTGCTTGGCCCATGCTGGGGGTATGGGGACCTCTGTACTCTGCCCACTGCGCCTCTGACCCCTGTGGCACAGCTGCTGGTGGGTACGGGCACACAGGGGGATCTCTACAGCAAACCCCTCCCAGGAAAAAACGCCATGCCATCCAAAAATGCCTGTTCACAACTCAGGTTTCCAAAATGGCACCCAGTCTTTGCGGCACCGCCGCAGAGGCTGCAAACCCCGTTTCTCCCCGACTGCGTGGCACCACGTTGTTCCGTGCTGGCGGGCCTCCTCCCTCTGCCTGGATTTCCAGCCCTGGCATCCTGGCTCTCTGATGGAGGCCTCCCTGTCATTAAGCTGTTGAGTCACTTGCCTCGTTAAATAATGTCTTCGGATCACTTCACTAGTTGCTTAACCTGTGAGCAGCTTTCTTGGAAAAACTATTTGCTAAGGTCAGTAAACAAGCTTTAAAAATGTAGATACACACTGTATGTGGGTACAAGCACAGGATATATTCTCCCTCTGATAAACTTGCGCATTAACTATCAAAACCAAATTTGAATAGCCTGTGCATATTTTTTGTAAATAGCAGCAACAGATAAAGAACTGTTGGGCTAATGGAGTCAACCATTACTGTATTTCACCTTTCAGATTTGGAGGTTTGGCTTGTAAAATTGCACAAGCAGCCTATGGCTGGGATAAATGGCGTAGAATTTTATACCTTCGTAGTCAAAAGAGACCTTTGTTTTGAAGTCAGTCTTCCTTAACAGCCAAGGAGAGTGGACGTACGGACAGTTGCCCATAGTGGCACAGAAATGCTGCCCTGCCATGCCTATGCTGGGGAAGGGAATCAGGTTTTTGCTAAGCTTTTTTCTTCCAAATGATCCGAGTAGCCAAATTTACTCTTTCGGTTTTTGTTTCTAATTTGATGGCTGGGAGATGTGCTTCGGAGGAAAGGGCACTGGAGCTCACATTGCTCCCTGCCATGCTTCATGTTGAGAGCAAAGATTTGACTCAGGATCTCCCCAAGTCATTGGTAACTCTAAGGTAGGTCTCTCTCAGCCCTTCCTGCGTGAGCTGTTCATTTGGCATAAAACATGGCTTAATTACCCAGCCATGACAAAAAAATGAAGAAACAAGGAAAGAAAGAGTGTGCCGCTCTCCCGGTGGTAGGTGAAAAGGGGGGACTGGACCTCCCACGTCCCCTCCTCTGCCTCCCTGCCAGCCTCAGTGAGGTCCCAACCGCTCCTTCGTTGGCCATTGGCTGCATGGAACAAGCCCTGAATGCCAACAGCTGGTCAAAACTACCTGAAAAACTCAACCCCAACTGGAGCATTGTTTCGCAACAACCGAAGAAACATTTCTTTCCCCAAGACAATAAAACATTTGTCAAAAATAATTCTCCCCAGTTCTAGTTACAAGTCTTCATACACTCCTCTCCTCTGGTGTAGCCTTAGCAAGGAAATATTTTTTCAACTAATTATCTAAAACCATAGAAGGAGGGGGGGAAGGGATGGTTACGGATTTCTGTCTTGCAGCACTTGCAGGCATGTTGTGGCTGACTCTGTCACTTTCCCTTTGGAGGAGAAGTGAGAAAAAATGGGCAGAACAGAGATGTGTTGAAGAAGAGATAAACGGTGGAGAAAGTCTCTTGCAGCTCGGCGTGTATGCAAATATTTGCAGCCAAAGTTAGAAAGCCTTGCTGCCTCCAGGAGTTTGCAATGCAAAAGCTGACACCCTTAAGAGTATACGGTAGGAACCGAAATCACGGTGGCAGAGAGTGCATGAAAGTTGTAATTAGGATTTTTTCCAAGGTCAGACCTCATCCTGTTAACACAGACATGGACATGCGCTGCATGTGGTGGTCACGGCTGCTCGTTTCCCGAGGAACCATTTCAGGCATACCAGCGGCGGTGCGGGAGCAGAGGAGCAGGGCTGGGTGCTGCCTTGATTATATCAACCATCAGTGCGGCTTCCTATGACTTAATGAAGCTCCGATCCACCAAAGCTGGACAGTGGGGCCTTTTGATTTCGGCAGAGCTGTTCAAATGCGTAAAGTTCAGCACCTGCTCAAGTGTTTCGGTGGAGCGGGGCCTCCCCTACCAGCAGACTGATAGAAACATCCATACAGCAGAAAAGGAGCTGGAGTTGTAAAACTGTCAGACAAAAACTGTCGATGGAAGAAAAATTTGAAGAACACATACTTGAAACACTGGAGATACTGATTTATCTGGGAATATCTTAAGTCCTTTGCAGCGTCTTATCACCCCAGAGAATAAGACCTGACAGACAGCCTGATGTACTGCTTGTGATT